GGGGGGGGGGGGCGGTGAGGTAGAAGGGGTCAGTGGGACAAAAAGAGGAAATTTGTAATACTTTCAACAATAAAGATAAAAAAAAATTTTTTTAAATCTCACAGATCGTTCAAAAACAACAGGTAAACAAACAAATAAAGGATCTCCCAAATTAGAGAGGCAAAGACAAACAGAGATGGCCAGAGGGACAGGAGGAGGCAAAATATTAACAACAGGTGAATATGGGTGTAGGGTGTATGGGTGTTCACTGTACTTACTATTCTTCCAGTTTTTTAATGTTATAAACTTTCAAAAGAGAGAATTGAAAACAAATGAAACATTATAAAATAAAGTGTCAAAAAACACACAATCCAAGCCTCTGGAACATCTAAGGAACGCACTGAAAGCATTAATAACTGTGGAAGCTGATATTCAGGTATCAGGATTTTAGGTTGTTGCTGTTGTTCTTGACTCTACAGATGGCTAAAATATTTTTCTACATTTACTCTTTTAATGGCTGTGTACAAAAGAAGACACATGGATTGCTTTTCTCATTTTCTTGTAAAGAACTGTTGTGACTACTAATAAGATGAGATGAAAAGAGGAGCTCTTACTGGATAGTTTCTTAGCTTCACCACCGTGAAAATTAATAAACAGAAAGCTCATTTAAAATGGAGCCAGGAGGCTGTAAGAGAGAGTGCCCACGCACGAGTCACAATGCACACTACTGACCCCAACAGAAGAGACTGCCTTGCATCTCCCACAGGAAGCGATATTCCTTCACTACCTCAGCTGGAGGAAGAACAGAGCCCTCCCTGCCCCGTAAGCCGTAAGCTGATGAAAAACCGCCATTAACTCAGCCAATGAAACGTCACTATATTTCAAACAGTCACTTTCCTCCAATGGACTCTTTGCTTACAAGAACCCCTCCCAAGTCCGTAAGAGTATTCCTCTCCTTTGTTTCTCTGGACTTGCACATGGTTTGCCTTCAGAATGAATGTTCTGAATTGCAATTCTTTCTTGTTCCGGAATAAACCCATTTTGCTGCAGGTATAGCTGGCTATTTGCTTAAGATCAACACTACCTTGTGGAGCATGATTCGCAGCCAGGCAGAATGCAATGAGATGATGGAAAGCCCATAGCTAATATCATTCAAAACCCAACTGGAAATGAAATAAAATGCTAAAATGGATAAACTCAACTTATAGGACTACATCTGGTAACTGGAAAGACTGCCTGTCCCCAGTTTCTGTGAACTTAATAGATGGTTATCATTCATGCTGCTTTGCTGATGGATCCTGTGGGAGGAAGCTAATAATTTATATACACTTTAACTGTAAAATAAGTGTAATATAACTGTTAAAATATGACACCTTCTGGTCCATATGTCTAATTGCCCGTCAGACACATTCGCACAGATCCTTTACAAGCACCTAAAACTCAAAACCTAGAGTCCCTTTATTATTAATCTTTCTTTTCCACTCTCCCCTCTACTCAACACTCTGTTTTCCTCCACTCTACCACTCATTCTTTTATTTTTCTATTTCTGTTAATGGCACAATTTTCCATCTTGGTGTCTAGGGGTGAAACTCAGACGAATTTTGACCTCTCCTCTTTACTCCACATATACATGAATAATTAGCAATTCTGCCTTTTAAATTATAACTCTTGAATAAATCTCCATCCTTAATGCTTTGCCTCAGTTCAAGACCTCATATTTCTCACAAAGACACCTGCAATAACCTCCTCCTCATTTCCCTACCTCCTGTCCCTGCTTCCAGCCTCAATTACTCCTATCTCATCACCTGAATTCTTTCTATACAACGATAATCTGATGGATTTCTCTCATAATAAAGAGCCTACAATGGTTCTTACCTAACTTCATCAGCAATGTACACCCTGGATGCCACCTGAGCTACTGGAACCTCCTTGTGCATACTTGCATCCCCTCATCTCTGGCCTATGTTCCTCTCGCCGTCTTGGATGCGGTTCCCCACTTATCCACCCGGAAAAGCCTTAGTCTTCTTTCAATGCCTAGATTATTCAGTCTTTCTTTCCCTCCTTCCCTGAGGCAGAGATAGGGACATCCTCTTTGAACTCCTGTGGCATCTTTATTATATAGTTTATTCAAACAGCATTACTATGCTTTGCTTACATGTCTGTCCTCACCGCTAAATCGTGTAAGGGCAGGACCATGTTCTAATAGTCTTTGCATCCTCAGCACCCAGCACAATGTCCAACACATAGCAGATTCTTATTAAATGAACAGATGTACTACTCTAAATAAAGGGCTAGGCCTAAATTTTTAAAAATATGGTTTATTGGACTTAAAAATACATTTTAAAAAACTCATAGATCATGCCAACAACGATGAAACCACAGATTGAGATCGTTGGTGAACTCCAAGACTCAGAGCTTTTACTCCTACAGCCAATTCAACCCAGCACTCTGCCTACCAAATGCTTAACTTTCCAGGGTTGCACAAGGATCCCCACAAGAACACTTTCCCCTGTGGATATCTGAAAGTAATCCCTAGGTAGCGCAAATCAAGCCACATGACAAGCGGCAAGCTCTCCACACCACTGGAGGGTTAGGCAGTCCAAAGACAGGCATTAAAGTGTCAAGGTTTTAAAACTTTCTTCCAGAAACTCTTTATGAGAGTGGAGTCAACATAAAGTGTTCAGTGAACAGCCCTTTCCTTGTCCCCCATATAAAATCCTGTGCCCTTTTCTGCTATATTCTCAGCCTAACACTACTGATCTATGTGCTGAAAGGTACCACCTTACATTTGGGAAGTGTTTCCACCTCTAGGGATGGTATCTTGAAACTGAGCAAGCTAAGGAAAGGTGGGCAAGACGGACATTCTGATGAGTTTTCTCAGCATCAGGTACTTCAGTTGGCTGCCAATCTCTTTTCATTTTTTTCCCCATGGAAAATGAAACAGACCAGATATTTGATTCACGTGCTTTGTGTATGCACTTTTAAAATGTCACCTTTGGGTAACTCAACCCACCGATGGATTATTAATAAAATTCAGCAACTGTCAAGGCACTTCTCCGTGTGGAAGGAGGTTTGGCCGCGACACCTATTAGGAGAGAGAGACAGATGGCCTTACCTCTCAGCTCCCGCGTCCACAGCTGCGAGTGGAGGTAACTGGGAGGAGGGGTTGTGGGGGCTCCCCTGTACATTATGTCCCGGAGAAGGGTGACTGACAGGATGAGGGGGTGGCACGGCCCCAGCAGCTGTTCCGCTTCGGCTTGAGTGATTGCTGGAGAAGATGGAAGCTGCAATCAAGGGAGGACAAGCGTCAGACTGCGCCCCAGTGAGGCCCACATTTTTTAAATACCAAAGGCTGGCAGCAAGCATATTTTAGGGGCTTGTTTGTTTTTCTCTCGATGGTTTTCAGGGAACAGCTCTCCCCTTATTGCACATACACAGCGTTTGTTTTCACGGTGGAGCAGGTTCCCCAGCTAATGCGCCTCTAGGGCTGCCTGGGGAGCGCGTGCAGCTGGTTCCAGGCCTGCGTTCGTGTCTTCCCAGAGCACCGCCCTGGCCACCAGCCTCCTGTCCCGACGCAGGATAATTAGTCAATCTTCTAATGTCTGCGTGCGGGCGAAGGTCCCTGCATTAGCACCCTTCAGTCAGGAGGGACAGCGGAAGGTTCGCTCTGCTGACCTAGGCGGGTACACCACGGGCCCTGACCTCTCCTCATCGCTGCTGCGTGGCTGGGGGTCAGGCTGCGCTCTCTCTGTCACTTTTAAACCAATGTAACGAGACCGGAGCTTCCCCCAGTCCTAGCACCAAGGCAGGATCCTGCACTCTTTTAACTTCAGAGCCTCACTGACCCCGGGCATTTCCCCGACGGCGTGATGGATGGGTGTACTCGGTCAGCAAGAACGAGTCTTCCCCTAACACTGCGGAATATGAAAAGGGGGTCCCACGCACACCTGTGGGATAGTCCCCCCTGTTGCCAATTATGACGCAGAGAGTGAGTTACAGCCTCATTCGCAGGGGCAGCCCAGCCTTTGGGAACTGTACGTGACCCCAAATTTAAATATGTGCCCATTTAGATGGGCTAATTGGTACGATGTCATGGGAGAAACTGGGGCTTGTCACTTGCAGAGTCTGTCACTGGCAGAGAGGCTCTCGCAGTGTGGGACCTACTCAGCAGACATCTCATTACCGCGCAATCATGCCAGCATCATTACGCTGGCTCTCTTGAACTTCCTCCTCTCTACAGAGCTAGGCCAAGCTTTATGCCTGTCCCTGCTCTTTTTGAACTTACTCTACTGATATCAAAGGATAAATAGATTTAAAAAAAAAATCAGGCCAAGGATCAAGAAAAAGAAGCCACATAATCAAAGATATTAGAAGGTTTAAGAGTTCAAGCAGCTGTATTTTTAGACCAGTGCCGCTTTTCCCCAACGCCTCCTGGATAGAATTTAATACCCCAGATGACCCAGCCCCCAAAAGCTTAATCCAATGGAGGAAGGGTTCAAGTACTTAAAGGAACATGTGAAAAGGTGGAATTACCATCTTCTCGCTTAAAAAGCTACTGACAGGGGTGTGATCTGATTTGAAAGGTTTATTTCTGGTAAGTCAGCATTGTGTCAGGTTAACTCTTGTCCTCAGAAGCCTGCAGCCCTCCACAGCCCTCCACGTCTTCAGGAGGCGGTGTGACTACAAAATGCTTACCAGCTCAGAAAGGCAACACAGGGAGTCCGCCGGCGTCAGCCCCCAGGAAAGTTGCACGTTTGCAAACTCGCTGGAGTCACCTTATGAATCACTACCCTCGTTTATGCTCAGCTCACTCAGGCAACCACAGCTCTGCTTGTATTCCAAATAATAATTTTACCCAAGAGAGAAGGCTGTTTGGATTCACTGTGGCAATAGTTTTAGGACTGGTGTTTGTCAGCGTGGAGCTCAGTGTTTTATATACTATTCCAAAAGCTAATGGAATAATAAGAGGTCACAGAGACTCTGTGGAAACGGAGCTAATTTTTTTTCTACCTTAGTGTAGTAATGTGAGCGCTCCTATTTGCTTTGTTGCAGTTGCTGAAAGCACCCATCACTTATTATGCCCTGGAGTTATTTCTGTATGTATGTGTGTGTTTATCACAAGGGAAGCACTGCCCCTGCTGTGTGTAACCCCATGGGCAACAGGGAAACTTGGTGTGCACACTTCATGCTCTACTGGACGGTTCAATAGAATATGTCTTGCTTCCCAGAGGTCTACATTGGCTCTATTAGCTACATTTTTACATTAGCTGCAATGAAATAGGCTGGGAAATTTGGCATTTTTTTGCAGCCTGCTGCACACTGAAAGCTAGGCCTGGTTAAGGGCCTCTCCTTCACCCCATTTAATAGCCAGGACCAATTATCCATCTATCCATCGTCCATCCATCCATCAAACATTATTTTTAAAATTTACTTATTTAAATCCTCACTGAGGATATGTTTTTATTGATTTTTAAAAAGAGAGAGAAGAGGGAGGGAGGGAGGGAGGGGAGGAGAGAGAGAGAGACAAACAGAGAAATATCAATGTGAGAGAGAAACATTCATTGGTTGCCTCCTGTATGCGCCCCAACCAGTGATCAAACCCACAACTTTTTGGTGCACGGGATGATGCTCTAACCAACTGAGCCACCCAACATTGGAAAGTACACTGGGCAGTTTCTTACACAGGGCATAAGAATTATCTCTTGGAAAATGAGGGCCATGGCTTCTTCTGTTTCTAACAGATGGGATGAGAAGCGTAGGATAAACTCCCTTCTGGTAAATAACTTAGTAGAAGCTTATAATCCGGCGCCTACTCAGTGCAGTTTGCACACAGAGCGTAGGGTTAGACTGCTGGTTGTGGATGTTGCCCCCAACCAAGATGATGACCAGAGATTTAGAGGAAGTAACGGGGGACACAGCACGTCCTTCAAGCATATGTCCCACCCCTGTTTCATATACCTTTCCAATAAAATGGACAAGATTCTGGAGTCAGAGAGCTGTAGTATCAGGAAAATTGCCCTTGGCCTCCACCAAAGGTCTACATTTCTCAGAAATGTCCACTATGACAAAGGAAATGCCTTTCCTACTAACACTGACTTCTAAGCATTTCCAACTGTATCAGTCATACATCCAGGATTCCAATGTACTTAATGCAGTCTAAGAATATTCATTCATTCATTCATTCATTCATTCATTCATTCGTGATGTTCCAGCCCTTACTCTGTACCAGACAGGTGTTAGTCTCTTAATGCTTGAAGTCTGAGTGCCTGCTGACTTTACCTAGACCTGCCCAACCTCAACACATGCTTCCAGACAAAAGCTCTGGCTTTTTTAACCCCAGGAAAAAAGTCTCCATGTTAGAGTGCAATTCTAAGGTCATTCACAAAAGGAAAAGCACTCTAGATGATTTTCCAAACTCAACCAATGAGTATGAGGCCTACTGATCCAAGCATAAGGAAGAAAACAGATTCCCCCGGAATCCAGGGCAATATTAAAACTGCTGCGATCCAATCAACCGGCGCACACAGGCTGCCCACAGGGGCGGCCTCATTGTCTGGGTCACCTCAGGGGTTAGCGCTGCTTTCAGGGCTGGAAGAGGGCTTTTAGGTGACCCTCCAGACGGGGCTGATGACTGGCAGCTGGAACAATTGATTAGGCACGGCAGAGGAGCATACTGGAAATTCTTATTGCTTTTGTGATTAAGAGATGGTAGACTCCCCAAGGAAATAAAAGCCTGGTCTTGAGATGAATGCCTGAGCCCTGCCTCTAGCAGAGGACCAAGAGCTAGCCTCCCTGCTGCTTCGGACTTTCTCTCTCCCTGGGGCTTGGCTTACTGCCGCCCCCACCCTGCCTCCTGCAGAGGTAGGTGGAGGTGACCCAGTGGGGCTTTATAACATTGACAAAGCAGCATCTGTTGATCTACGTGGTACCAGATACCATCTCACTGGCTATGGGACCAGGGTATCCTAGGCTGGTGCCTTGAATTAGCTCTGATTAATTTGTGTTAACACGCATGTCTCTCTCTCTCTCTCTCTCTCTCTCTTAATCTCTATTTCTGATAAGCACAGACAGGGGGCCCTTGGGGACACTTCAGTTTTCACATGTTCACTGTGTGAATGGAGGGAGGAAAGGAGTGTTAAGTTGCTTCTCAAAATGAAGCCTACTTCTCTCAGGCCCATCCCTGGAGCCAGGGAAGCTACATAGACATTGCTTGGTGACTATGTTTTCATCATTTAGAGGCAGGGAATACGTCCCTTGCCAGGCTGAGGTGTATTAAAAAGATCAGCCAGGTGGAAGGCAGATTGCTGTTGAAAACTGTATGGATAGCTAGAGTCCTGCTTCTCAAGCTTTAATGTGCAGACAAATCACTGGGTAAAACACTGATTCTGATTCAGTAGGTCTTAGAGGCAGGGTGTGCAGAGATTCTGAACTTCTATCCAACTCCTCAGGTTCCTGGCGATGGTGAGGCTGCCAGTCCAGGGACTGCACTTTGAACAGTAAGCGCTAGACCATCTGAGCTGCATTTCACCTTGCTGCCCCACACCTCAGAATCAGTAGTTAACATTGACTGAGGACTTTAAAAACCTCTCCCCAGTTTACTGACAAAGAACTTGAGGCCTAACTAGATTCCTGACTAGGTTACCTGGTTAGGCTACCTAGTCATGTGGCTTATAAGTTAGTGGGGCTAGAATGCAAACCCAGGAAGCCTGATTTCAGATCACATGCCCCTAACCACCACTCTATAATGCCTCTCAAAACACAGGATGAATTCAAGAAAAGGCAGGAGAGTGTTGTTTTCTATCAGAACCATGGGACACTCCCTCTGCCAAGGCTGCCTGGAGTCACTAGGTACTCTTCCCTCTCCGGGCACATGAGTAGCTTTCACTACCAACATGCTGGTTAGGATGCAAAAAGTAAACTCCCATTTCCATCTCTACCCACCCTCAAAGCACCGAACAACCTCAGCAGGAATGAGAGAAATTCTCCAGTTCTGGAAATGCATTCAGGCAAGAAATTAACAGAATTACTTGGTTTGGAAAACAAACAGCTGGTAGAAAATGGGCTTCTTCCTAAATAAAGATTTCAGATGCTTGTCAGAGGCACACTGATCCACTGGTGGGAAAGAAGGCAGGCAGAGTGGGGTGATTCATGAGCAATCAGGTATATACACTTGTTACCGCAAGTGAGCACGAGGTCGTTGGCCAAAAGGCTGCCACCTCTGTCAATAATGCATGGAGCAGAGATTTGCTGGGCAGATCTGCTGCCACTGAGCTGTTACAGCAAA